ATGGAGAACTTTGCCACCCATGTGTATTAACAACGCTGAGTAGTCAAATCGGTTGCTTGTATTTGTAAACAATCTGGGGGCTTTTCTCCCCACTGCATCACCGACATTATGTTTAAAAAGCTAATCCGACAATAATACTACAACAAACCTTCTTCATCGAGATCATTGCAGTTGATCCAAAACAGGTATTCAGCCTGTGGCACTAACGGCACGTGGAGATCAGTTTCCTCCTGAGACTGTGGCATGACCAAGACACCTCCCATCTTGATGCACTCCTCTTTGGCCTCAGACCATGTCACAGGCTCCATGGTGGCTTTATAGCATTTTCCGCCCCTCTGGTTCCAAGATGGTGGACACGCCCAAGTTCCACTAAAGGAGGCCTTACATGACTCGTTACCACCAGTGCAACGTATCATCAGATGAAGGCTTATCAAGCCAAAGATGAACCGTTTACGCAGCAGCATTACTCACGGCTTACCCGACCTGGGTCTAGCAGTAAAGTGATCACCTCCTGTCAAGCTCGCATAAAGCAGACCCCATCAAATATGCAATTGCTCTGGCCGTGGTTGTCAATAAATAAGTTATCTGGCACATAGCTTGATCACCTAAATACCTTTCTCCTTTATGTATGCCTTTCTTGTTTTCCACATGCTGGGTCGTATGAATAAAAACTGGCATTTGCTTTTCCTACCAATTTTTTTAACCTACTTCTCGCATCTGTATGAATGGAAATGGAGCAAACGCTTTCAATGGCAAGCATTTGCTCAAACTTGAAAGTTTTCACTTTTTAAATTGTAGAGTGATTCATGTACCATCAATACGAAAGTGGGTGTTTTTCCTTTATGTACCTTTGAGTTTCCAAAAAAGACAACCATTTTGCTCATAAAGTTATCGTACTTTGGCTTTACGATTTGCACCTCCCAACAACACCACTCGATGGATAACAACTCTAGAGGTATCATTATTGGCGTATACATCCTTTGCACCACCGCGTACAGAAATGCATCTTAATGAGGATAATGATGCATATTTTATGAATATGAAAAAGAAGGAGGCGACCACTAAGTGCCTCAGAAGGCCGCAACTTGAATGAATCAGCATTATTCGTTAGCAGTGCGATTCAGCAGTCGTCAGTAGTGCGATTCTGTAATTGAGATATATGCACCCAATTATACAGATTGACCTTTAAACAGTGCAGTCAACGTAACATTCACGTACGTGACTCCGTATATGACAATGTTCGATTTCAAACTTTATAAAAAAAGAGGAAATTCCTAAACCATCGAAATAGTTCTCTTAAATACCGACCACTGACATGACCTTTGAATGTATTATCTTTTATTTTTCATATAATATTTCAAAGTTGAGTCATATTGACAACTTCGCATCCTACTGCCCCAATGTTGCCCAATACTGTCTGATATGTGTGTGCTTATACGTAGATGTCTTATGCAAAATTCGTTCGTTTAACAGACCCAGAATTGATCTTTACGTACTTTAAACCTAGTTTTGTTTTTAATAACATGGCAGAGTCACAAAATATCTATAAAAATAAACTAAGAAAACAATTCAAATAGGTGTGATCACCGTCCAAACACTTACCAATATTATCAACGGATAAGATATCTGGAGTAGAACTTGATCACCTAAACCTTCAATTCAATTCAATAATTGCAAAAACAGTTACTTTGTAGTCTCGATTAACAATGCCAATACAAAACGTGATCATATAACATGGAATACATTTATATATCCCAAAAAGGTTTTTAAAAAATATATTAATGTTAATAATGCCACGCTTCATTAATACCAGTTTTGAAAAAAAACCACTAAGAAGATGCGAAGGATTGGGGCGCACGTTTACGCGTGCGAACCCATACAATGCGAAAAATACCAACAGATTATATCATTATATTCAGCTAAAAAGCACTACCTTAAAGGTAACACGTTTAAATACGATATCGAAATACACAACTCGCTCGTACCCCGCCCTGCAAACAGGGCGCTGGGATAAGCGGATGAGCTTAACATAATCTTGTGAAGGAATTAGTGGGGGTGGAATTTCGGATAACTTATCATGACCTAAGTATAAAATATCTGGCTGCAGCTGTTTAAGACCGCAGTTAGCCAATGCGCGCAAATGCTATCCGAAAACTTTCCCACAGAAATGCACACACTCCGTACCATATGTGATTTATTTTTCATTGCTGACCATGTGGACAAATTTGAGCGTCGCATCGCATGCAATTTGACCCATCGTGAATTCGAAACGGAGCCTGAGCAAGTGACGAGAATCGGAAATTTACAAAACAAATACATATGTTTTACAGATTTTCCTATATTATTACGCTTTTCAACAAAAAAAAAAGAGCATTAATTTTATGAATGGGAATATCAAAAAAGAAGAAGAGATGACTCAGCTTTTACGGCCGTTTGAAGCCTTGCATGGTCGTGGCCGTGACATAAGTGCAGGTCACAGGTCACGCAATATCTATCCAATCAGAGCGTTAATTCATCAGCGTATCCCAGCATTCTGTTTGCAGCGCGGGGGGTACGTACGAGCGGAAAATTCACATACACGGTATATAGGCTAAAAACGCCCCCTATTGTTAGGTATAGGCCTGTACGCCTAATAACTGCGCTAGCTAGAGCACTATCAGCAACTGGAACGCCACCAATCGTTAGGTATACTACCACTATACATTGTGCACAAATAACGAAATATCACCATCGTTCCCAGGGCTTACCTTTTTTGGGGGAAACTCGATTTCTGTATCGTGATTCGAAATAGCAAGTCATGGATTTATATCGCGTACTTGTAATTTCCAACCTGTATTACGTAGACTTCTATTTTAACGTACAATGGTAGTCATTACGTCGGCCACCCCACCTAAAAACAACCCCCCTTTCCACTTTGCTTTTATTAATATGTAATGTGACACATGTACTGCATATTGGCTTGTTAATATTGTATATTTTAGCATTAAAAGAAAACTGACTTTTCGGATCTCACGCAGAGACGATTTGATACTCTTTTTTTAACCCCAAACACGGCATACAGAAACAAACACTGATTAAAAGCAGTCTAGTCAGGGCCGAGAATATTCCTAATTTACATACAATGGGACATTTATTGAACATACTATTTCTGTCCCATACACTACCAGGGTGAGACAGCAGGTATTGGTGAGAGCCCATGGGAAACGAGGTTGAGGAAATATTGACTGTTTGCGCCAGTTCGATGTATTCTGCTTATCAGTTTACGCGAGCTAGGTATGCGATTGAACAGCGCCACCAATTGTTAGGTACCATCCCAACATTTTTGGTGTTACGTTTTCATACAATGTAATTGGCATAATCTTTATGAGGTCCAGAGCTTGATGGGATGGCGTTATGGTTGACATCATTTTTATGAGGTTCAGAGTGGGATGGGTTGGTGCTATTGGTGGCATCATCTTTGTGAGGTCCAGAGTTGCGTGGGGTGGAGTTATTGGTGGCATCATCTTTGTGAGGTCCAGAGTTGGATGGGGTGGAGTTATAGTTTGCATCATCCGTTAGAGCTCCAGAATGGAATGGGGTGGGGTTAGGGGTACGTGGCATCATCTTTGTGAGTTACGGAGCGGTTTGCGAGATGGGTTGGAGTTGTGGGTGGAATTACATTATTTTGTGAGGTCCAGATAGGAATGGGGTGAAGTATGGGTGCATCAAATTTGTGAGGTCCAGAGTGGGATGGGATGGAGTTATGGGTGGCACTTCAATGTGAGGTCCAGAGCGGGATGGGATGGAGTTAGGGGTGGCATCATTATGGAGGCTGGACACAGGGTAAAGAGGCACAGGTTTTGTGATTTCAGCCAACAATTGTGCAAACTGATGTCAGGTTTTATTGCTGCATAATCTGCAAAATAGTCAAAAGCGTTTTTAATCTTCTTTAAATTGTCTACCGGCTTGAAATCAACTTCATGATTTTGTCATAATCAGTCATCTCGTAAAACTTCAATTTGTATTGTTAAAAGTACATGTACGTATTTTGCATTTCAATTGTTGAACTCTGATTTCTGTCTTGGATTTTAAGTCGTGCGATGATGACAATACTTGTGCACCTTCATTCATTTCTTTTAAGTAAACACATAAATAATGCATATATATCTACTGAATATACACATATATCTAAGACATAAATCCACCACAATTAATATTAAAACCGAATTATTTTCATCATCTTCAATCGCATCCAGCTTGTAGACAGCTGTTGAGAATCAGTCAGCTTTATCAATGAAAAAGCTCACGAGGATAAAAATATAAGCGAATTATCCCTTCTTTCTTTTACATCGATTTTTCTGATTAGGCCCCAAAAAAATATAATACTCGGTCCCTGGTCAGCGCGCGCGTCGATTTTAAGCATGCGCGTCAACCTTTTTTTTCTTCAAATTAAACCGGAAGCTACAACAGCGCCCTCTATTCATCAAATTTTTGAACCAAGGAGCACCAAGGAATGGGGAAATTGCGCCAAGGCAAATGATAAAGGGCACCAAGGCAAATTATGGAGGACACCAATGTATAATGAGGACACAAAAAAGCAAAATAGTACCCACCTTGTCTGTACAATTCAAGCTTGGAAAAAAAGAACGCATCGCCGCATCAATTCCGGAACTTCAGTCTGACCAGAGACCGAATAATTTTTTTTGGCCTTATACACTGTTAATGTTGTAGAGAGTTCGCAAAATGGATTACATCTTATAATTTCTAAAATATTTTCAACTCCATTTTCATGAAAACTACTTTCACACTTGTGCTTGTTAATATGTTACAAGTGAAACAAACCTTTTACATCGTTGACTTTGTCTGAATTGATTTTTTTAAAATGTAAAACCGACTTGTAAAATCAGTTTTATTTAAATATTTTAATAGACTTTTAACTTTTATTCAGAAAGTTATATGTGAATTTATTCACCTTCATTTTCCTACATATTGACAGGGTTTTTTTCAGATAGAGTCCTCAGACAGAGTTTTAGATTTAAGGTTGCGGGTTCGAATCCCGCAAGAGGCCTTCATAAGATCATTGTTTGCTTTGCGTTTACTTGGGTCTCATGAAGCGCATGCAGTTGTCGTGCAGGGACATCTGAGCTTTGCATATTGCACGGCGTGACTGATCACAATACAAGTCATTCCATTTCCCACCATACCATACCGCAGCGCAGTCCTCATAACCTCCGTAGTTATAGGGTGCATAATTGTCCCAATTCCTGTACTCCACCTCATCAGTACCATCCTGACACTTCCAAGTACCTATCAAAAATAATACAACGTACATTTACAAAGATGGGTATCGAATAGCAAACAGTCTTCAAATAATTCACAATGTTCTGGTATCATCCGATCCGATACCAACCGTTAATTAGGGAGGCTTGTTTATCAAACTGCCACGCCACAAGCGTGCGATAACAAAACGGAAGACGTTCGAACTGGCTTTTAAAGATTTGCAAAATCCGAATCAGATCTGTAGCATTCAATCGTTTTATTATTGAAAGGAGAGATAGGCTCACTTAAACTTGTGGTGTCGACAGCTACAGGCCTCTCATATTTTTTTATTGCGTGGCATTTTGACGTAGAAGCCTCGTCTATTAACAACGGTGTATAGTCAAATCGGCTGCTTGTACTTGTAAATATCGTTTATTTCTGCCCATGTCATCACGATATGTTAAAAAAAATCAATCCGACATTAATACTTCAACCAACCTTCTAGCTCGAGATCATTACAGTTGATCCAAAACTTAGACTGTGGTGACATCAGGGACATGAGGAAATCAGATTCCTCCTGAGACTGTGGCGCGACGAAGACACCTCCCATCTTGATGCACTCATCCTTGGCCTCAGACCATGTCAGAGGCTCCATGATGGCTTTGTAGCATTTGCCACCCCACTGGCTCCAAGAAGGTGCACACGCCCATGTTCCACTGAACGAGGCCTTACATGACTCGTTACCACCAATGCAACGCATCATTAGATGAAGGCTTATCAAGCCAAAGATGAACCGTTTACGCAGCATCATTTTTCACGGCTTACCCGACCTGGGTCTAGCAGTAAAATGATCAGACCTCCTGTCATGCTCGCTCGCTTCGCAGGGTGCGTTCGATTAGCTTACACGTTTAAGTGAAACTTATGATAGCTGTATGCGATTAGCCATCACGTGATCCTTGTGTCTGCCCCGGTGTCAACTACCACTACACAGGCTGCGCTTGCGAGCGGGTCTCTGTGTGCCCGGGTGTGTGGCGTAAGCGGACGATTTCGTTGATAGGAAGATTAAAGATGGCGGAAACTTGAATACGAAGGGAGTACAACGGTTTTCGGTGGGATTGACATATTTTTTTGATAATTCAGAGCATATCCTCCGATTTCAGCAATCGTTGATCTGGTTACAGTGATAAAACTAAATTTACAAGTGATGAAGCAGATGACAGTATGCCTGGTGTGTTTACATTTTAAAGTCCCGCTAAAAACAACCTTTGACCTTAGTTTTCCAACAATGCCTCGGCAAATATAGCGCAGCGTTCGATTAAAATCATTTCGTGGCTTCCCCAGGTGTAACCCCGTGTATCAACGGGGAAGTTAATCGAACGCTACCTATACAATTTATTCATATGGGTGCAAAATAATTAATCATACATCGTCATGTATGCGTGCAAATGCTAAAGATTTACTTAAGAATCAAATGCAGACAGACTCACATTTTATCCGTTGATTAGGTCATTTAATTTGTTTGATAACATCACAACATGTAAAGATATCTCAAATCAGAAAATCTGTTTTCTTCCTCAACAATATATGCCGTGAATTGAATGAAATAGATCAGGTAATTTCAACTTTTCCAGATAACTGCTGCTTTAATTTGGTTACATTTTTATATTACTTTTTATGACATTAATTTGTTTGTGACTAAATATAACCACACAGACATCATCGTTCCGTAATATTTAAAGTTTATTTTAGGAGTTTTGCATAAAATATCTTGTGATGAGGATAAAGTACCTGTTTGTTAATAAGTGGGCAAAATCAGTGCCTTTTTGCATGGTTACATCATAAATTATTGTTTTCCTCAAATGAACAGCCACCAATCTCATTTCTATCCGTACGAGTGGTATGCTGGCTACTTTCAACTTTTTTGTATACAACGAAGCATTTCCCTACCCAGACACCTAGGTTTGGAACGATGTTGTGTGGTTTTTTTTTTTAACTTCCATTGCTTCGTCTAAAAACCTCCATATCATTCTTTTAATTTCAATATTTTTCTACTACACCTTGTTTGTAGATTCCCTGAAGTTTTCAATATACCTTATTCACGAGAAAGCTATTTTTGATCGTGTTCCCTGAATATATTGTATGATGTGTAAACTGTTGAATGGGATGGTGCCAGACTATTTTATGCGTTCCAAGCCTTACATTCATTTGTTTTAAATGTGGCTTAAAACATTAAGGTGTGTTTAATAAAAAAAAAAAGAATTATTCATCAGAGCCGACAGGTAGGCTTATTAACCTTTAATTAAATTAATTTCATTGCTTTCATTTCTACACTAAAAAAACAATGTTTAGCAATTAAACACATTTGTAAACACTTTCTTTTCATTCATTCATACTTTTATTTTCCACATGATTGGTGACTTCACAATACATGTATATACGAAAACAAAAGTAAATGTGGATGGGGGTCCCCAAAAAGCAACTGCTTGTCGAGTAGGGATCCCCATTAATATTAATTAACGATTACATGAACACATTGTAGTAACACTATACACATAAAATAAGACAGTAAACTAAACCAGAAAGGACAGTACTTCTTGTAACCACGTGAGACATATGTAAATGAATAGACTAAATAGAGTTTATATACCCAGTTAGAAGTTTGGCCTTATATTTTTGTTTTAATAATGGAAGATTCCATATTTTTTTTAATAGAAACATCTAGGGAGGACCACAGCTTTGGACCCTCAGGCTTGACTGTATTTTGGGCGAGAGTGGTATGAGCTATCAGTCTCGATTTTCAAACATGTTTAAATATGTTTAGAGCAAGGATGGATAGTGCTTAGCAATTGAACATTGATGTTTAGGAGTTGAACACATAATGTTTAGCTTCTAAACTTGTTAGAGTGATAGCACGATTGTGTTTAAATGCTAAAAACAGTTTTACAGTGTATTGGCAATTTCCACAAATGAAGATTTTACCTCGCTTTCAATTTAACATGGCCGACTCGCAAATAAAGCCCATATCCAAAAAGTTCAACCACGTCGCCCATGATATCGCCGGACCTTTTAGGATGATTGATTAATAATTTAGAATGACTAATTACATCTCCAACAATACCAATTAATTGAAACCAGCTCTAATGACATCATTATACATTCTCCGTTGAACCAAAGCCTGCATGCAGACGTGAAAGTTAACGAGGTGGAATTAAACATATTTTATGAACATGAAAACAACCATGACAAAAACACACGACCATGAAATGCCTCCGAACGCCGCAATTTGAGTAAATTATCAACATCAGTTTCAAAGAATTGGTTGATTCGTCAGCAGTGCTATTCAATCATTGAGTTACATGCATCAAATTATGCAGATTGACCTTTAACACAGTATCATCACCGTAGCATTCACGTGCGTGACTCTGTATAAGACTGTTGCTAGATTTCAAACTTGATAAAACAAAGTCAAAACCTAATCCGTCGAAACAAATCTATTTTAAAAAAAATATAGACGACTGACATGCCTTTTAAATGTACGATCTCCATTTTATGTAATATTTCAAAGCTTGAGTCATTTTTGACAACTAAGGAACCCACTGCCCCCAAGAACATTCTCGATTTACACCATGTACATGGGGGTGTGTGCCCGTTCACGCTCTCAAAAGAGGCACTATTGTTGACAACCATCCGTCCGTGCACTCAATGCAACCGTAAGAAGCTTTTGCTGCTATGTTGTCCACATAGTGAATGATGAACATTAGCTTTTATTCGGACGGATTGAAGCATTTGCTTTTCCTTACTGCATTTACACTTATGTAAATGCTGTTGCTATTAGATTGTACTTCCTATAGCATTTGCTACTTTTATTTGTATATACCACATAACTTTTGGATTTTTTTGGGTTCCAGATAAATTACTACATGTAATTAGGACATTAATTTGCTTAATTACAGCTTAAACTATTCTCTTCAAATTATACTGATATCTTCATCATTCCAAATATTCAAAATTTAATTCAGGGTCTTTGCGTAAAACATCTGGTGGTACGAACGAGGTATCGGTTTGTTAATAAGTACAAGTGAGAAACACTAACATATAAGTGCTTATTTGCATTTTAACGTGGATATACCTAAAAAGAAACAAATAATAATACATACAGTAGGTTTTATCGAAATGATGAATTCGTACGCATCCATTTCAAGTTTCTTTCATGTTATTTGCTCTTTTGGTTTTTGTTTTTGCAGAAACTTTGCCTACCGCTCTAACGTATTTATTTTTTATACAACGAAACATTCCCTAACAAGAACAGCTAGCATTTGCAAGTGCCTTTAAATCTTTGATTTTTTTTCTCGTCAGTACATTGTTTTATCCAAAAGGCTCTCCTTTCGTTCCTTTTATGATTTTAGTTCGTCATTCGGTCTTAATTTATGAAGTTTATAGTGTTTCATTTAACACCAACGATAAGGAAAGTATTTTTGGTCTGTTTGTCGTTCTGCTGAACATTTTAATTCCAAAAAAGGACAACCAATTCGCTCCTAAGGCTATCGCACTTTGGCTTTTCGATTTGCACCTCTCAAAAGGTACCACTCGTTGGATAAAAACTCTAATGCTATCGTCAGGCCTATACATTTTCCCTTGAATCACCGTGTACAGAAATGCATCTTAACGAGGAGAAGTGATAGATATGTTATGAGCATGAAAACAAACATGACAAAGACACACGTCCATTAAATGCCTCCAAACGCGGCAATCTGATTAATTATCAATATTATTCGTCATTATTATTGCTGAATTGCACTGACGAGTCGTCAGCAGTGCTATTCAATAATTTAGTTACATGCATCAAATTATGCAGATTGACCTTAAACACAGTATCATCAACGTAGCATTCACGTGCGTGACTCTGTATGACTGTTGTTCGATTTCAAACTTGATAAAAAAGTTAAAACCTAAACCTTCGAAATAAATCTATAAAAAAAGACGACTGACATGCCTTTTAAATGTACGATCTCCATTTTATGTAATATTTCAAAGTTTGAGTCATTATTGACAACTAAGGATCCCACTGCCTCCAAGAACGTTTGCACAGCATTATTTGATAAGTACTATTATGCGAAAGTCGTTCATTTAACAGCCCCCAATAAACCTATTTTTGTTTTTGTTTTTAAAATATGATCAGAGTCACCAATGGGTGTTTTTGCCAAAAGTTCCAGCATGAACAAGACAGGAACGATAGTAATTTCTCAATTTACACCATGTACATGGGTGTGTGCCAGTTCAGGCTCTCAAAAGAGGCACTATTTGTTAACAACCATTCGTCCGTGCAATCAATGCAACAGTAAGAAGCTATTGATGCTATGTTGTTTTCATAGTGAATCCTGAACATAAACTTTTATTCGAACGGATTGAAGCATTTGTTTTTCCTTACTGCGTTTAAACCGATGTAAATGCTTTTGCTGTTAGACTGTACTTCCTATAGCATTTTATTTTATTTATACATACCACGCAACTTCTGGTTTATTTTGTTCCAGATAAATTACTACATGTAATAAGGACATTAATTTGCTTGTAACTTAAATTATTCATAAATGAACATCTTCAAATGATACTGAAATCTTCATCATTCCAAATATTCAAAATGAATTTCAGGATTTTTGCGTAAAACATCTGGTGGTGAGAACAACTTATCGCGTTGTTAACAAGTACAAGTGAGAAACACTAACATATTAATGCCGATTTGCATCGTAACGTGGATATACCTAAAAAGAAACAATAAAACACATAGTGGGTTTCTCGAAATATTGAAGTCGTACGC